TTTTTGTTTTCATAACGTTCGGACTGAATTTTGGTACACTCAGATTTCACTGGCTATGCCTTAGCTTTCTGTGCTGTTTGGAGGTAAGAAGGTAATGTACCTTGTCTTTCTTGATTTGTTTTTTCAAAGAAAGATTTGCAGAGTTCTGCATTTTTAAAGTAACGAAGTTATCTTTCACTGGAGTATCAACTTATGGTAACTATATAAACTTACTCGGTCCAAGAGGAGGTGGTTTTTCCGTTGTAGTAGGTACAGGCGGTGGGTCTGAAATATACAGTAATATAATTAAATGTGATATAATACAATGCAATATGAAAGCTTAAAGAAGACTGTTGATGTTACAATTATCAGATTAAATGTCTTCAAAGTGACTAAGAAACCCGAATATAGCTAAAATTTGCACAATCATTTTTAAGAACTGTATATCTTAAAAATTCATGACAATAATATCATATTTCTAAAATTAAATAAATAAATAAATAAAATGAAAAAAAAAACAACAAAAAAACACAAGCCCTTTTTCGTTAGCATTGGATAAATTTACTCGCTACCAGCAGGTATCAGTTTGGTAATCCAGCTTATTTATTTCTTTTACTTCTTTGTATATTTATTAAACTTAAAAAAAGCCCGATAAAAAATTGGTGCATATTAACCAGTGCAATATATGTGAGGCAACAGTGTTTCTGGAACATAGCATTAAAAGTACCATAAAGCGATACATACGATACGGGCACTGTTTCGACCCGAGGGGGTACTTTACATGACACACAGGGTCGGGCTGCAACTCGCAGTTGACACAAACCACTGGTTCTTGACCGGGTGCTGGTGGGGATGCTAGAATCCCGATGGTGACCCACAGCGTTCCGATGGGACATTTTTTGAGGGTGATATTCTTCAGTAGGGTGTAGGCGAAATCACACTGCCAGAAATAGGCGCAGTCTGTGTCCGCGACGTAGGCGACACCTTGTGACACGTCCGGTTTGTCAACCAGGCATCGTTTCTCAACTTCCTCTGGAAAAAAAGAATGTTCTATCTTTATTGTTTTAGAATGTGTTTTTCGAATGAAAATAAATGTTGTTAAAATTCATTAATATTTTTCTATCGTGATCGCATGTCCTCCAAATGCATAAAAAATCGTGGCAATAAAAACAATTATTGATCATGATAACATCGATACAAAGGTTTACTGGTTCTTTAAAACTTACCAATAGGTAAATGAGCGTAGGTGGCGCCTAGCAGAGCTAGGCACACTAGAATGATCTTCATTGTGAACTGAAAAGCAAATATTTGTATCATTCATAAATATTTCTAGATAAAAAACATTCTATTGAATAAAAAAAAATTAAATCAGGTTGGTTAATGTAACTCATGTAGCTCTCTCATATGTAATGATGAATACAGTAAATCACCTCCTGTTGAAATTGTCCACTCTTTTATCAAGAGAATGTGTGGTAAAGGGATTTGCAATAGTCAGTCGAGAAAAAAAAATAGATTCCTTTTTATCCGACCCTTTCCACCGCCCATACACGAACGTCTTACATGTATCTACCGAAAAGCAAAACCGAGTACATACCATGAAAATAATAAGCTTATAGTTTAGACTGCAAACTGACTGGCCTTAGTTTATGTCTCTTACCTTACCTGCAAACCTGCCAACGGTAGGAAGCAGTGAGACGCCCAACGCTGCCGCTCGCTTCTTTTATCCTTCTCCCCTGCCAACTCAAGCGGGGGAAATCTTAGATTCGCGATACTAAGAGCATTGTTTTATCACTGGTTATGTCTCTTTGGTTGCCAAACGATAAACAAGGGCGGTTGAAGCCAATTTAAATTGTTAATTTTAGAGTAATGAAGGCCGGGTAGGGTGGAACACAAAACACCCTTTTGTGTAAACCATTTAAAAAAAGACAAGTAAGGATCCTCTTGAATTGATAAAATCATATTAAAAATAACGTGCCCTAAATTAAATTGGGTCTGTTGTTAGTCAAGTTTTTTAAATTCACCATCTAAATTCAGATTTTACGATTAACTGCTTCGAACAATTTAGCTTCCCCCTTTACTAAAAAACACACGACAGGTAATACTGCATAATTGATGCTAATGAAAATGCTAATGTATGTTTTTTAAAATATAATGTATTGCCGGCGGTAGTGTTTTGACACCATTTGTGATTATTTCATCGCATATAACTAGGAAAGAAGCTAGGATAGACTGCATGCGTCAATTAGATTAATAGTGCTATTATTAATTTTTTCATGATACATGGCTTGTTTAAATGTTAAGTGCCACTAATAAGTTCATGATGGTGAAAATTTATATATACTACCGTAAGAACAAATTAAACAGAACCAGTGCACCTCAAACCTGAGGGGCGATGGGTTGTAATGTCTATCACAGTCTTTATTTCCCCGTTAACACCTGACTGTCAGCAGACGAAATATTGACCGGTAAATTTCA